GCCAAAGAATTGATGCTTTTGAATTGTGGTGCTGGAGAAGACTTGTGAGAGTCCCCTGGCCTGCAAGGAGACCAAACCTATCAATTCTAAAGGAAATCAAGCCTGAGTGCTCACTGGAAGGACCGATCCTGAAGCTGAGGCTCCAATACTTTGGCCATCTCATGAGAAGAGAAGACTCCCTGGAGAAGCCCCTGATGTTGGGAAAGTGTGAAGGAAAGAGAAGGGGACGACAGAGGATGAGATGGTTGGACAGTGTCACCGAAGTTACCAACATTAATTTGACCCAACTCTGGGAGGCAGTGGAAGACAGGAGGGCCTGGCGTGCTCTGGTCCATGGGGTCACGAAGAGTCAGACACAACTTAACAAATAAACAACAACAAGAAAAAGACAAAGGAAAACCTGCAGAGGTTCAAAATGCGGAGAGTTCACTGCTAGAGATTAGAAACTGTGCCCACTTGGCACGTGCAAGGGGAAATTGTCACATCCGAATCACTGAGCTGTACAAATGCATTTCAACAGGTTTCAGTTCTGCAAGATGAAACAAGTTGAGTTTTAATTTACTGGGTCAGTTAAACAGTCTGAACCAGTCTAAACATATTTTAAAGAGCCTACAAGAGCTCTGTTGTATACAAATCACTTTATACAAGCCTACGCCAAACCATCTATCCACTGCAAAAGGTCATCAGAGGAGATGCAGAGTACGGAGAAAACAGTGATTTTTTATTTTTGGAAGAAAACTATCTTTACAAAGTTCTAATCCAGACTGGGTTCTTGATCTAAAATTCAAGACCACACAGAGCTTTCTGCAGAATATCTCCCAATATGGCACTTACTGGGCAATATTTGCAGGGTATTTGTGTTGGCTAAGGATTGAGTGGATAGAGCAGTGGACTACCACTCAGGAGATGTGGATCTGATTTGCTGGTTCTGCCATGGAAACTCACTAGGTGAGGTGGAACTGCTAAAACGGCTGCTTAAATACCTCATTTACCTTGAAAAACCCTACTAGGGTTGTGCTAAGTCAGTTCTAACTTGATGGCACAGAGCAGCAGCAGGAGGAGGAATGTAAGAAGGTGCCTTGGGAGTCCCATCTAGCTCAGTATTATGCACTCTGATGGACAGGAGCTGTTCAGGGTTTCAGGCAGGATTCTCTCCTGTGAAATCCCTGATACAGTATTTCCTGATGGATTCTTCTCCAAGTGCTAACCAAGTCCACTCCCCCTTAGTTTCTAAAACCAGGCCAGGATGGATGTGTTCAGGGTGCCATGGTCTTTTAAGTGGGAAACTTTTGCAAACTGTTGATTCAGATCAAATGCTTTACACCTGCCTGTCCTTCAAACTAAAAGTATTCTTGTTGTTGTGGGTTTTTCGGGCTCTTTGGCCGTGTTCTGAAGGTTTTTCTTCCTAACGTTTCACCAGTCTCTGTGGCCAGCATCTTCAGAGGACAGGAGTCAGAACTCTGTGCTCTGGTGCAGTTTGTTTAGGAGTTGAGTATCAACTCCATCAAACCTAAACAGAAAACCTAAACCAGATCACAGGTTGCTGTCCTCTGAAGATGCCCATGGCCACAGAGACTGGCGAAACGTCAGGAAGAACAACCTTCAGAACACGGCCAAAGAGCCCGAAAAACCCACAACAACTATTCTGTTTAGGTTTGATGGGGTATAAGTGCCATAGATGTTTCAATAATTCATAACAAAGCTCGTTTGACAAACTTTCTGAATAGTGCAGCTCTCTGTAGATCCTAGTAAGCGCTGGTATGTATACCAAAGCAAAGTTTTTAACATTTTATTTCATCGACTAATTATACAAAAAGGAAAAACTTGTTTAACACAATGCATTGTTTCCCATGGATTACCAGCGAAGAACCACATTTCAGTCCAGTGACCTCAGTTTTCACTGGAAAGTCCCATAGAGTTTAGTCGTTACCACACAAGCGAGCTGTTTACTTTTTGTATCTGCTCAAAGCAGAACTTTTTATATTCTGAAATGTAAAAACCCGAGCAGTCCAGCTCAATCTGGTTGGTTAACTTGTCTCGAACAGCCGGGCTGGGCAACTGCAGGGCCCTCCCGGTGTTGTTGCTGGACGTCGCAGCAACACAGCGTGGCCTGTGGTTGGGGGGGGGACCCTGGGAACGGCAGTTCAAGGCAGTTCAGACGCCCCTGGAGAGCCCCAGGTTGCCCGACTGCTGCTTTTCGAGATCAAAGCGGGCGCAAACCTGAACCGCCTCCTAGGAAAGCGTGACGGCTGGTCCGAAAGCAAGAGGCTCCGCTTTTGGACGGAGCCAGGGAGCCGCCCGCGCTCGGCT